AGGGCACGGTGTGTAAAGCAGACAGGTGTGTGTTTATCAAGTGTTTCGTAGTTGGCACACTGATCCGGGATCAATTGATGCCCTCAGATCAGTGGGGACGGTATGATCAAGGGACGCCTGCGGTCACCGAACCCAGATCGGCTGTCGGAAAGGATGTATAATTAGTGAAGTGAGAGAAAATCCAGAAACAGATGGGAAGATGGAGGCGATGTGTGTGGGAGAGAGAGAGAGAGAGAGAGAGAAGCGGTCTCTCTTTTTCAGAGTGTCAACTAGATGCGTAAAATGTAAAACAAAATGACGGCGTGATGGAGAGAAAACCAGAGGGCTGAATAGTAGAGGAGGAAAGAGGCAGGAAATGAGATGGATGTATTGGAAGAGACATGGACAGGGAGAAGGAGGAGGGAGAGGTGATGTGAAATGAAGAGATATAAAAATATTGGTCCATAACTGATGTACTTTGCTTCAGCAACACGCAGCTTCTCCCCTGCGCCAATAAAGCAAATCTAAAATTGAGAGAGTTCTCAGCCGAGTGGAAACTTGGTCGGAGAGGCATGAGGAGGCAGATGAAAAAGGAATATGTGTATGTGCACTCGCAACGTGTTAAGAGAGAATTTTCTTCTCTATCCCGAGTGTTTGAAGTTGAAAATAAAAAAACCATGAGAAAGATTGAAGGGGAGGAGGAAGAGGAGGATTAGTGAGGAGGATTTGCAGGAGGAAGAAGACAAGTTAGCAAGAACAGCTGCTGTGACCGGATCAACAGTTTGGACGTTCGGGGAGTATCGAGTCTCAAGTTTGATCTGCAGACAAGAGCTACTATCTGGACACACACACACACACAGAACCGAGACGTGCGCTCTGTGTGTAACCAACAACACACGTAGACGCCCCAGCTTGTTAGCTCAGCCTTTAAAACCCTTTCATACCTTTGTACACACTGTAAATCACAAAGTTGCACAGTTGACTGAGCTGCTGTTTGTAGAATTATTTCCATGACAAGTTTTCAATTATGCTCAATATTCCTCAGCACAGCAACAACAGAGTCTCCTTATAATAATAATAATAATAATAATAATAATGCAACACTACAGTCGGTGAACTGTTCCGACGTCTGTCACGGTAACTTTTTATTCAAATCCAGCTGTTTCCTGCTCTTTACAAACATGCATCTGAAAGTTACTTGTGAGTTTATAGCTGTTAAACTTAAACTGCATTAAAATGTTATGATATATTTCAGTCATAAACCAATTTTCCTTATCGACTAGGAAGAACGTCATCAGAATTAAGGTGAACTCACATGTTTTCTTAAAATTAGCGTCCGTTACCACGTCAGTCATAAATTAGTTCAACATTTTATGACCACAAATGCTTTGGGGATATTATAACTTTACTCGTTTTAGGTTTTGTGTGCACGGGGTTATATATTTTTATTTAAAACATGATATTTTCTTTTTCAAAGACAAACAGGGGTCATCAGTGGCGTCTTGTTCAAACTGGGGATGTTGTGGCTCGTGTTTGTCTTTTATCTCAAACCTCTCAGTGATTCAGTGGCCGCCACAGTAACGTCAGACGATGTTTAAAGTCTGGATCATGAAGATTATCATCACATCATTCAATTCACAATAACCAGTGGGAGAGACGAAACTTCTTCTGAACTACAGCTTGATAAGTTATGTGCACGCTACTGTTGACAGATAACACACAAAGTGTTGCTAACGTTTCACTGCATGTTTTTGCACCACGTTCTCATTTTTTATCTGCTTCCCCGTGAAGTCTGACGAGATGTGAGGTGGTGCGTCGCTCCCTCCTGGCACAACGATCTCAACACACTCCTGTAGTGTGTGATGATTATTTTCAAATCTCGTGCATATTCAAGATTAGAGGAGTTTCTCTGGTCAGGATTTCATAACTCGTGTCTGAGCCTCGGGGTTTCTCCTTGAATATTATCTTTCACACTTGCTCGTCTTTTGTTCTGACAATTAAAACAGGAAAGTTTCTTTTAGACCACACTTCTGTTCTGTTAAGAAACGCTGACTGGATTTATATATTTTCTCATTTTCAACACAAGGAACGAGGAGAGGACACCGGAACACAGCCTTCTAAAAGTTTCAGTGCCTGTCGGACATGTTGGGAACTTTCAGATGTTCAGAGCTTCATGTCCATCAAAGCCTTGGACGTGCTCCAAATATATCGTGTTTTCCACTAAGGAACTTAATTCTATCCAACCACACAAACACCTGTAAACCAGGTTATCTCAATAAATAGAAAGGAATAATATTTTTTAACCACATAAAAGCCAAACACTAGTGTGTAACATCAGGAGCTCACCTTGCAGCCAAAACAACACGAGGCACATGTGCGATTTTCAGGAGGCCTTACGATCGATTCGCCCTCATAACTACACATCATATGGTTTTTGAAAATCCATCACACCTGTGCTCGCGAGCAATATACATTGTTTCTGATGAAAAAAAGAAAGGGGGTGGAGAAAAGCCCCGGGAGTCAGAAAAGATTAGAAATGGTTGAGACGTAGGAGGCAGGAGACGACGAGGAAGAACAAGAGAGAGGGAAGGAGGGGAGATCGAGGATAGATGAAGGGAAGAGAATTAAGGAGACTGATAGTTGTGTGCAGGGTCCAGAGGGCATGGAGAAGTGTGTGTGGGTGTGTGTGTGTGTGTGTGTGTGTGTGTGTGTGTGTGTGTGGGTGTGTGGGTGTGTGGGTGTGTAAGGGTAGCTCACGAAGACAGATGTAGTGACCTTGCTTAGTGATAAGGCATGAAGACAAAGTAGAGTTGGATGAAATAACTGAAAAATATCAAGAAAACAGAGGTGTGTGTGTGTGTGTGTGTGTGCATGCGTGTGTGTGTGTGTGTGTCTGTGTGAGAGACAAGTGCAATCGAGACAGACAGGCCCAAAGGCGGATGGAGAGATGAAAAAACAGATAATGAGACAGTGAGAATGACAGAGATGAAGATATAAACAAACATTGCTAAATAGTGAGTGAGGCCAATAAATAGACGGGAAAACAAAGTGTAACCACGAAAACGAACACACAGACGTAGGATGAAAATACTTAATGAAGCAAATAATGTTACAAACTTTATTGGAAGAAACAAGATTCACGTTCCCACGAAGTGAACTTAACTTGACCCTGCTCATCCTCATTAATTTAGGAGACATTCAAAACTGTGACGTGCGGTTGGTCCACGAGGCCTCTTCTGGATCTGTTACGCAACCGCAGACACGCGCTGACTCCTCGTCCGTGTGCGTTACGTCACGCCCCCAGAGGCCCCCCCCCCCCCCACCCCCGTCCTCGTCCTGTACCTGAGATAAAGCTGTGAGTTTATCTGTCCCCCCCCCCCCACAAAAAGTCTCGTGTTTCAGGATCCAGACAAAAACAAGTCGTTCACTTTGCTTGACCACAAAAGCGTTTTTTTTTTTTTTTTGCGGGCACCTTGTTTCTCTTCTCGGTGGGATTGTCGTTATGCGTTTAGCGGTTGTTGTGCGTGTCTGTGCGTGAGAACAAAGCCTTTATTAAGACGGGGAGACGTGTGTACAGACAGGCGGAGGGGAAAGCAGGGAGACAGACAGCAATCACGCTGCACAAACAGCGTAGAGGTCAATGGTATCACAGAAACAAGCCGTTATTTCGTTGCATTTCATCATCATCATCCATCTCAGTCGCTCGCTCTCTCTCCCTCTTTCATGGCTGAATTTCTCATTGATGACAAAGCCATTTATGTCTCTCTTATGTCCCCCCCCTCCCCTCCGCCCTGCCTCGCTTCTCTTCATCCTCCTCCCCTCCTCAACCCCTCCTTCCCCCTCTCTCCCTTATTCTCCTCGCTATTTATGCTTCCTCTGTGTTATCTCCCCCCCCCCTCCTCTCATGCACTTTCTCTTGTCTCTCCTTCTCAATTTGCATCGCCTCCCTACACTCCCCTCTTTGTCTTCTTCTTTGCCTCGGTCAGGCGTACATCTCTGCTATTTTTTCCTCATCTTCATCACTCCTCCTTCTCCTCCTCCTCCTCCTCCTTGGCTTACATCATTCTCTCTCACCTCTCTCCCCCACTCCTTTCATTTTACCTTTCTCTTTCGCACGATTTAAATTCCGCACATCATCTTTCTTACTTTCCTCTTTCCCCTCTTTGCCCTCCCCCATCACACCTCCCTTATTCTTCTCACTATATTCCCACTGCTGTTCCTTTTCTTGCCAGTCCTCCTTTCTCCTCTTGCTCCAACTTGTTCCTTCCAAACGATGGTCTTTCACTTTCCTTTCATCATTTCCTTTCTTCCGTTACCCCACTTTTTGCCCCTGTTTCCCCAGTTCACTGCTCTCCCTACTTTCTTCCTATTCGCAACCTCTCCCACTCTCTTCCTCCCCCATCTCACCCTCCTTTCCTTATCTTTCATCACATCTGCTGTACCGTCTTCATGACATTATATTCCATATACCGTCTGCCTCCTTTTCTCTCATTTTCCTCCTAACTTCATCAGATATTTTAATCCATTCTCCATGGCCTTCTTCCTTTTCCTCTCTCATCATCTCCTTCACTTTCACAACCTCCCCTTGTGCTTTCCTCCTCCTTCTCCTCCATTTCCTCTCCACCCTCCCTCCTCTCCCTCCTCCTTCAAAACGACTGAGCCTACTTTCCCTCGCTCATCTTCTTTTATTTTTTCCCCCCTTGTTTCCTCCTCCCTTCCTCTGACTTTCTTCTTCTGTCAAACCCCATAGTCGTCTGAATCAAGAGCTGACATGACAAAACAATTCGACATTTATCTCACAATCGTCAACATTAATAATGACAGTAGTCGTTATACAGAGACAAGGTATTAAAATGATAAATATTACAATATTAAAAGAAATGAACCATTACATTATATAAATAAATCAAGTATTTTTAAGGAGCCAACGTTGTGAGTCTGAACCCTCCTTTAATAATTTCTGAAGCAGATGACGAGCTCATTTCTAATTATTGATGTTCCTGATCTTCTTCTTCCCTCAGCGCTCAGAGACAACCGCATCCAGCTGCACCGCTCGACATCCACCGAGCTTTCCATCATGATCGGTGACGTGCAGCTGTCCGACGAGGGCGAGTACACCTGCTCCATCTTCACCATGCCGGTCCGCACCGCCAGAGCCACGGTCACTGTTCTAGGTGGGTCACACGTGTGCATAACTTTCATATCACAGCGGTCACAACTTTCCCACTACATAAAAAAATAAACCCTAATCTAAATGTTGAAAGTATCTCTCATATTTTTTATTCCTGCTTTTAACAGGCAAAAGTGTTTCTTTTCTTTCATTGTAAAATAAGCAAAAAAGTCCCTTTACTTAATTTTGACTTTCCCTTGTATCTCGTATCTGTCTTTGAAGGAGGATCTCTCTCCGTGAGACTTCAGGTTTTCCTTTTCCAACCAAGGCTTAAAAAATATTCTTTGTTCTCACCGAGGCGAACTGGTGCCGGATGACATTCTTGTTTTCCCTGTGTTCGTAGTCAGGCGTCTCCTTTGAGACTGATTGATGGCTGTGCAAATCGGCTTGACTGCAGTCCATCTTAATTTGTCTCCTGAACCTGTTGGATCCTGACAAATTTAAATGGATGGACATTTTTGTGTCATTTTCTTCCTCCACCTTCATGTTGTTTACAACAATTTTACAAAACGTCTACACCAGCCAGTTGCCGACTGCACACGGGAAACGCAGAATAGCATAATACTGCTATGACATTGTGTTACCTGACCAGTCCTGCAGGGCTCACCCTCTCAGAGCTGAATGATCTTTGACCCTGTAGATGTCTATTGTAAGTTACATCATATTAACTGTTTTCACACAACAACTCCAGAGAATGTCCACACATTCAATTTGCAACTGGAGATTCTCAACTTCGTAGCGTTCAGGGGAGGCAGCCGGCGGAGGAAGGATGTGTTTTTGTTTACAGCACTTACTCATCACCAGAAGCTCTCTTACGATCTTCGTCTGTGGCTCCTTCATGTATGGCACCGCTCATTCGGAGATATCTGTATTCTTTATGCTGTTTCATTTTTGCCTCTGTTGCGTTTCAGAAATGTATTCAACTCACGGTGAAACCTGCGTTTCTGCACATTGGCTCTTTCAGACATTGTCCTCAGTTTTTCCTCGAGGGGCTGGCCAGAGAAAATCTGGAGCCTCTCACTCGGACATTCAGCCCCTCTGGAGATTTTCAAGAGAGTTCAGCGAAGGTCTGAAAGCAGCGGTTGTTGTGTCGGATGCAGTGGCAGAGTCCCTTTAAAATACAAATGTTCTGCTGGCAGTGTAAGAGATGAATTGAATAAATATTCCGAATGATCCCTTTGACAGCACAGCAGACCATTATATTACAACATGACTCCATCCCCTTCCTCGTGATGTCTTCATGCAGTCTGATCCAGATCCTTCACTGCAGCGTTAACCTTTGTGGGAGGTTATGACCTTATGTAACTCTTGTGTGGAGATAAACTGGCTCCGCTCATCTTCTTGGAGATGGATGTTATTACCCATGTGCGATGTTTCCCTGCAGCCTGCCATAAATTGCGGTCAACCTGTCAGCGGTGAGTGGGCCTGTTTATTGATTGGATATTGGGCTAATCGGCTTTACCCCCACACAAAGCCATCCATTATTTTTTTTATTTTTTTTTGCTCGCGGTGGAGTTGTTGCCGTCCCTCAGTGTCGGCTCGTTCTGGCTGTATTTCCTGGTTTCACTTGAAGATGAGAACAAAGCCGTGTGCTTGGCAATGCTGCCATGAATCAAATAATGGCCAAACAACCACAATAGAGACTTAGCGTATACATGGGAGAGACAGCTGGTCAGACGTTCCCGGAAAGTTGTGGCGAGCAGATTTTATGGCCAGAGTTTTAGTGCATCCAATTCCACCTTTAAATGGCTTTGTAATGAAAGTGAGTCATTGTTTGTGCTGACCGCAACTAAGCTGTATCCATATTTATTCAACAAATTGGCTTCCATTACTGATATTTACATACCCTCTGATATGACCAAGAGTAAAGTTTGTACTGTGAGCCTAATTGGGATCTTGAGGGGGGTTTGTATCAGTTTTTGCCATTTCCTCTTAGCTTTTTTTAATCCAATGCATCATTATTTGCCAACGAATTAAACTTGGATGAAAATCTGCTGCAGGTTTATGCCCAACTCTCTTGGAAATTGCACTTAGTGGGAACAAGAGATGCTTAAATTTTCATACGTAGGGCGGAGCGGGGTGGTTTATGTTTACGGCCCCCCAAATTTTGGGGTTTGTCAGTTGACAGCTGTGGAAGCATTGAATCTGTAATTGCATTGATATTTATTCAAATGTTTTGGCAGTGCTGCAGAGTATGTCAGAAAGGATGAGATGCAGTTCCTCTGGACGTCAGCGTGAGCAGTGCCTAAAATGTTAATGTGTGTGTGTGTGTGTGTGTGTGGGGGATGGTATAATGTGTGGTGAAGGTGAAGCTGCAGGTCGTCTTACTCCAATTAGGGAATCACTCCTTCACTTAATCTTCCAATTTTGCAGTAATTGCGCTTCAAGCATTTTCTTTCCCTTTGCCGTAACTGACGGATGTGACACTGTATTCTGTGTTCGATAAATATTTCATGACCCCTGAGAGGAAGCCAAACCATTAAAAATGTATGGTAAAATGTCTAAAATGCACCGACCCCTATGGGAAAATCAGCCGAGGATATTGAGTTCTGGAGGAGTGATGCTTGTGTGTGGGTGTTTCGTTCTTGTTTTGACGTGTGCGAGGGGTTTTGACGGACACACACATAAACACACATGAGCGCGTTACTGCTGAGTGTGGTCAGTTTTGAAATGGCTGCGTGTCTGTGAGACTAAAACGTGTGCCCGTGCCTCTCCGCTCCTGAGCCGAGCAGAGAATAATTTATAATAGCGTTCTTCTCTTTCATTCTCCTTGTAGAGGAGAGGGTCTCGACAGGACTTCTCCAGCCAATTCTATACGTGCAGTATTATTCCCTTCATCAATATTCAATGCTACTTTACTGCCAGAGAACTTCCGCACACTGAGCACCACATCAAATACTGACGCATTAAAAATTGACCACATTTTTATTTTTTTGATCTATACCATGGTTCGTTCATGACACTTTATATTTCCAAAGCTGTCCACTTGTCCATATGTCAATCTGGGAGAGGAAGACAAAATGCCAGGGACAGTTTCTGTCTATCTAACCGGCTCGCTAGCTGAAGAACGATCTACCTAGTTATTAAGCTGTGAACTAGATACGCTATCTACTTATGTAGATAGTAGTAGTCGTAGATAGACGGATAGATAGACGGATGGATAGACGGATGGATAGACGGATGGATAGACGGATGGATAGATAGACGGATATAAGCTTGTTATCGCTCCATGACAAGCTAATCTATCTTTCAAACCATGAAGATGAGCAATGGACAGGTGGATGATAGACAGACAGATAGAAGAATAGATTGATGATAGATAACTGATAACTTTATTTTCTGCCAATGGCCGTTCAATAGGAACACTGACTAAATAAATCAAAAAATACTGATGGATGGACGGACGGATGGAGAAAGACATTTAATAGAAACACTGACTAAATATATCGATAATGGGTAATTGGATAGATAGATGGATAGATAGATGGATAGATAGATAGATAGATAGATAGATAGATAGATAGATAGATAGATAGATAGATCGATAGACGGCTAGACAGATGGATGGACAGTCAGATAAAGACAGTTCATTTTGTCCCAATGGCTGTTCAATAGTAACACTGACCTAATTGATCAATAAATATATTTGGTGCAGACATCACTCATTTAATAATCCTGATATCTGTGCGTGAGAGCGATACGTGGAGAAAACTAACTCAGGTGAGCGAGGCTGTGAATGCAGGACGTGATCAGACTGTGACAACAAGAGCAGTCCATTAACACTGACATGGAGAGGGATATTACAGCCGGGCTGCGTTGCATCAGCCCCTCATTACATAAATGAATGCACGCAGAGTTCAGCGGTGCATAAAAAAACCACACAGGCTCAGCTCCGCAGAGACGTGTGGCAGACGTGATACGGTCAGATGAGTCATTTTACAGGACGTTCTCAACGAGAGGCGGTGTGATGTTCACCGAGAGAATGGTACAGGCCTGTGCTTGACCCCCACAGTGAGGGAGTCTGGTGGCTCTGTGGGGAGCATTCTGCAGCGAGGGTTTGGGTCCACTTGTTCTTTTAGTGGGAAGAGTCAACGTGATCACCTTCGTCACACGGTGAGAAACGTACATCCTGATGGGAACGGCTAATACGGTTCATGTTTCATTTGTCACCTATTCTTTCTGTCCAGCTGTGAAAGTTTCAGTCTTTCCACATATTTGTATAAAAGTTTCTTCCCCCGGATAAAATTTCATTTTTGAACATTTCAGTAATTGCTGCAAAATCCTGTCTGTTTAAATGAAAATCATTTTTCTGCTCCTAGAGTTTCCTCGCACTCAACTTTCTGTGCAACTTTCCTTGCCTCCACTGTTTCACCTCCATCCCTCTCTCTGTCCGCCCATCACTCCCTCCTTCCTCCCTTAATTCACAAGATGGCAGGATATGTGGTAGATGGCAAACTGAATGTTCATTATTTTCAAGAGCAGAATCATAGTAAACTCCGCCAGCACTTGGCGGATCGCGCCGCCCACAGCGACTCCAGATGGAGTTTGGTAAGAGGAGTTCAACTTTCTCCTCTCGCGCCTTTGACCATAATTGGGACTGAAATGTTCTAGCAGGACGCGTGTGTGGACTCATTCCTCTGCTTGCATTGTTTTCATTTCAACTCATGCTTCAAGTTAGAACAGTAATTAGACAAAAATGTTTTTTTCTTTCAAACGTCTTCGCTGGAATCTGGAAGAACAGCTGGACGATGAATCATGGGATTTTGGCTTGGCCGGGGACGATGTGGGGTTTCGCTCTGTGGTTTGCGTCTGTGACCTTTTGCTCCGGTCATTCCTCCGTCCCTCTCATTTTTTTCCCGAAACAGTGACTCAAGGCTCCAGAGACCCATCTCGAAAAGCCATTTGCTCAGACTGAGTTATTCAAACTCCCTTTTTGGCTTTTAGCTAATGAACTCTGAGTTTAATTTAATTATACCTGCAGAAATATAATTTACTCAACATTTCAAACTGACCTGAAGTACTAAGAATGAACAGTCACTCAGTACCATTTACCAGACATGAGCTAATGCAGAGGAGGACGTTCACCCTCTCACAGTAAGCCTGTCTTTCAGGATGTCTCGGGATACTCAATACGTGTACATCAAGTGCTGTTATGAAGGTTAAGTCCAATTTAATTTGGGAGTAGTTTGTCTCTGTTCAGCGTCCGTGAGCTTCAGCAGTTATTCATAGTCGCAAAAAGAAAGAATCCAAACTTGGATCGGACACAGTGAGGATCTGACTCATGTTATCATGGAAGTTTCCTCTGAAATATATTTCACTAATGGCATTTAACTATGAATCATATTCCAAAAGACCCTGATGCTTATAGTGCTAATGGATGTTAATGAAAGAGGTCGACTGCTATCATGGATGTACAATAAGCACTTATGCAATTGATTGCTCGTTCTATTCAAAAGTTTGAAACCCAAAGATCTGTTATTTATTTCATATGAAGAAAAAAAAGTTATTTTTGAAGAGCTGGACCCAGAGAATGAAAAGAAAGATTCTCAAAACAGTTGCTGAAGTTTTTCTTTCCACTAATTGATAAAGCTGCAGGTCTGCTTCTTCGTGTTTAACATGTCGTTCAAATTGCAGTTTCCCCATAATTATTAAGTGACGGTTGGTTACAGAATTATGTTTCTGATTTTCCGCTGCCACTGTTTGGTTTTTAGGTATAAGAAAATACTTGTTGAGAATTAGGGAACAAATGGAAAAAGAAAACATCATCATTCATATTTTGTAGGAAATTTGGTGCAAACAACAATTTCTCCGTCCGTCTAACCTGACTGTGTTTGGAATGAATTTAGTTTTTCCCCAGCTGCTTTTAAAATTGACCAAATAAACTCAAGTCTGTGATCGTGAGGATGCTGTGTCAAACTCTGCTGTTGACATATAAAATATATTTTTTGGGGGGGGATTTATTTTTTATTCCACCAATTTGATGCACCACAACTTTGCAAAAAATATTACTTCTGGCTACAAGGTGAGCCCTTCAGCATAAAAGTTTTCTCTCCATGTTTGTCCCGCTAACTCTTTATGTTCCTTAATCTCTCTCCAGGTGTGCCCGGTAAACCTCAGATCTCAGGCTTTGAGAATGCAGTGCCCGAGGGGGGCAAAGTCACCCTGACCTGCACCAGTACCGGCAGCAAACCCCCCGCCAGTCTGATCTGGTACCGTGGAGACCAGGAGCTGGAAGGTTAGAGATACAGGAAATGCGTGTGTGTGTTTGTGCATTGTGGGTTCGTAAAATGTTTGCGTGTGTGGTGAGGTAGTGCACGGTTGAGTTTGTGTTTGTGTAGGACAGTGTGTGCGAGTGTGTAGCTGCAAGGATGTTCCGCAGGGATGTGGGTTTTGCTTGTCTACGCGTGTTTGTCTCTGAAATCAAGTGTCTGTGTGATCCTGCTGTGTGTATGAGGATTTGTGTGTGTGTTTATGGACATGTGAGAATTTGTGCACATATGCCTCACGTGTCAGTCTCTGTGTGTGTTTGTAGTTGCGTGTGTGAGGATGAAGTTTGTGTGTGTGTGTGTGTGTGTGATCATGTTGTCTGTTTTTGTGTCCTTGCCACATTGCCTGCTGTCTCTCTGTGTGCCCTAAACCTGTGCCCGCAAATATGTGCGTGTGCAAGTGCGAGGGCATGCTGCTCGTGTGTGTGTGAGTGCAGAAACATGCTGCGAGTGTGTTTGCATGTTTGTGTTTGTGCCCTTCATTCCCATCAACACGTCCTAATCCTGTAAATGTGTGCCCATGCATGTTTCCAAGAACCGTGCGTTTGTTTGCTTTTACTGTTTTGTGCGTGTCGATGCAGAGTTTATTCCTGCAAGCGTGTGCGTCTGATCTGCGACTGGAGGTGACACGACAGAAAGCTGGAGATAACACAGGTCGGATCTAACCGGGGATAGAGAGAGTCCAGCAATAAAAGGCAGGAGGGCGGGAGCGAGGATGAAGGGATGAGGTCGACAGAGAAACAGAGATAGAGAGAGCTTTGCATGAGGTCAGAGCGACTGGTCTTTTGTTACAGATAAACGAGAAGAGGAAGAGGAAGTGAGTGCAGACTAGAGACGATGTCACAAGAGGACAAATTAACCAGCTTTTTTTTTCTCACTGATAAACTGTAAAAAAATCGAGGAGTCGATTGGCAGCTTGTGACTCACAACAGTGATCCTGGCAGCGGCGAAGTTTCTCCAAATTACAACCGTGTTTTCCAGTAAACCCACCTGCTTCTTGCTGCCTCATCAGTCAGAGGTTTTCCGTTTTGCTTTATCGAGCAGAACAAACATGTTGCAAGTGTTGTTTCCGTCGCCCTTTCGCTCCTTCCACCATCTGCCTCCACCAGAAACTCTATAAGCTTTAAGCTATGTCTGCACCGCGCGAACAGCGACCTCTGTCTGTCTGCACAGCTCCCCAGCTGTCCTGCCAAATCCCAGTCTGTGTAAACCGCAGTGTTTAGACTGGTGGATCTTTTTTGCAGAGGCTCTTTCTACTGCAATTATACTAACATAATGTGATCTTATGATAATGAGTTATTGATGCAAGAATGCCTCACTCAGGCTTTGTAATGCAAAAATGCTCACGGCCCATCTTGTGTCCTCATGCCTTGGCAGCGTAAGTATTTGCTATAATTATGGATTGAAATGAATCGAAAAAATAGACTAAAGCTACAAAGAGGGGGAATGGGAGCGCTGCCCGTCTGAGGACAGATTAACTTTTTGTCACGGCTGAACTAAAAAAAGGAGACAACAGAAAAAGAGGGGTGTGGGAATTTGCTTTTTTTTTAAAAAAGATATTGGATTCCTGTTTAAACGGACAGTTTATTCAAAATACTAAAAGTAGTTTTCGTCTTACTTTTATTGGCTATTATATCTAAACGTACATGCAGCACTAGTGCATTCAGTTTCAGGTCAGAGTAGAGCGTCCTTTACGAAGCGAGCTGGAAGGTGGAAGAGCACAAAAAGTTTTCCTCCTGTCACAGACCTGCAATTAGCGTTTGTTCCCTTCTCCCTGTAACCAGCGGTTAACATCTACTGACACGATCTTAAATAACGTTCATGGTTAAACACTGGTGCACAGGGACACATCCTGGTGGGACGCCACATCAGTGGACCATCACAAAAGGTTTTTAGGGGCCCTCTCTCTCTCTCTCTCTCTCCCTCCCTCCTTACCAGTGCATGAGAATGTGCTGTGTCATGTCTGGGAGTGTGGTCAGTGGCCAGTCAAAGCAAAATTAGTCAAAGTGCATTAACTTTCCGAAGCAGTGCAAAAGTAGCAGTGCACATATTTGAACCTTCAAGTGCACATGGATACTCCATCAAGTTAGAGGAGCTCCAAGAGGCAGATTTGAGAAATTTAAGCAAAGATCTTGACTGTTCCTCCCTCGTATGGGATCACACACTTGTCATAATGCAATTTGTCCGTTTGGCACTGTTCCTATTTCATGTGGTTTGCCGAATATTGCAGATAAAATATTTTTTATAAGGCTGGCATCAAATGTTAATAAAAAACAATGAATGGAATCCAGCGTTTTACTGAATCAACTTTCTTGCATCTAATGTGACAGGGACACTGGTTCTTCTTTTAGTTCTTTGTGTGAACTGCCCCTTTAATGAAAAGTGAGACCGGACTAAAATAGAGTCAGACAGAGAGACGTTTGAAGGATATCAACTCCGTGTGAATGATGGTGTGTTCCAGGCATCGCCCAGCCATCCTGACATCGCTGAACACCAATCAGTCATTGTTAGCACACACACACACACACACACACACACACACAC